TAAGTATAGTATAGGAGCTCTGGTATCATAGTGCCTGATGCATTGACTGCTAACCAGAAGGCTGCTGGTTCAAACCCACCAGCCACTCCTCAGAAGGAAGATGGGGCAATCTATTGCCATAATGATATTGCCTTGGAAACCCAAGGAGGGGTCGCTATTAGTCGGGTCCAACTAGATGGCACATAACAACACAACATAGTATAGTATAACAACTATAGCATTTCCATAACGTCTTGTATTTGAGAGAGTGGTGTCCTCAATAATCCCTGATGTGTGATGCCTGCTGATGGACTCAGTATAGTTTAGTTTTATTTATACTAATGTTTTTGTCCCCCCCCCCATTTCTGTGTGTATGATGCGTAGAATAACTTTAAAATTGTGTGTGGAAATTCCTCATGATTTCTAGTACTTTAATAGTTTTATTATTATACTGAGTTTTTCAACAAACTGAAATCTATCTTGGTTTAGTGAATGAAGTAGTGTCTCTCCCTTCCTTCCCTTCTTTCTTTATTCCAGAAGTTACCTAGCTGTCTGTTCTGGTTACCTGGTGCCACTCTGACAAGAATATACCACAAATGGGATGGCCTTAACAAGCAAGAGTTTTTTCTCTTACAGTTTGGAGGCTTTAAGTCCAAGTTCAAAGTGCCAGGGTCTAGGGTATGGGTGAAAGCCTCTCAACCTTGGGCTTCAGCTCTGCCTCCAGCTCCCATCCCACTGGAGCTAGAGGCTTTTCTTCACTCAGATAGCTGCTGGCTGCTGATGCTGCCAAGCCCAAGGTTGACAAGTAACAAGGCACAGTCCTGATATTACCAAATCACACAGCAGATCATTAATTCAAGTCCATTGTAAGTTCCAAGGTTGGCAGAGCATGGCAGGCTGCTGAACAATGACACAGCTACATGTAAGGTCCAAGCAGGCCAGGGGTTAGAGACCATGCCCAAGGCTTCTCCTTATATACAGGAAGCAGATCACACCCCAAAGGCAACTACTCAGCTGCTTGTGGTAGATCCCAACATGGAGCTGATTACCAGTCTCATCATGGGGAATAACTACCCCCAGCTGCGCAGTCACTCAACCAGGCCCAGCTAAGTTGACATACAAACATAACTACCACGCTGTCCTATGTTGTGTTGTTGTTGTTGTAGTTGTTGTCATGTGCCGTCAAGTCGGACCCGACTCATAGAGACCCCTCCTTGGGTTTCCGAGGCAGTATCACTATGGAAGTAGATTGCCCCATCTTCCTTCCGAGGAGTGACTGGTGGGTTTGAGCCGCCAGCCTTCTGGTTAGCAGCCAAGTGCCTTAGCCACTATGCTACCAGAGAGATGATGTCAAGTCAGTTCTGATTCATAGTGGTGCCATGTATAACAGAATGAAACGTTGCCTGGTCTGTGACATCCTTACAATTGTGTTTGTGTTTGAGCCTGTTATTGAAGCCACTGTGTCAATCCATCTCATGAAGGTTTTCCTTTTTCTCTACTTAACCCAGCATGACAGTCTTCTCCAGGGATGTGTCCCTCCTGATAACATGTCCAAAGGAAGCAAAACAAAGTCTCACCATCCTCACTTCTGTGGAACATTCTGGTTGTACTCCTTCCAAGACACATTTGTCCATTCTTCTGCCAGCCTATGGTACATTCAGTTTCCTTCCCAACACCCTAGTTCAAATGTTTAAATTCTTTGTCAGTCTTCATATTTCAATGTCCAGCTTTGACATGCATATGTGAAGATTGAAAATTCAGTGGCCTGAGTCATTCACTCCTTAGTCATCAAAGTGACACCTTTGCTTTTTTAACACTTGAAAGGGGTCTTTTGCAGCACATTTGCCCAATGCAATACATTGTTTGATTTCCTGACTGTATCCATGGGTGTTGACTGTGGATCCAAGTAAAAGGAAATCCTTGACAACTTCTTTAATTTCTCTATTTATCATGATGTTCTCACTGGTCCAGTTGTGAGGATTTTGTTTCCTTTATGTTGTTGACGTGTAATCCATACTGAAAACTGTAGTTTTGGATCTTTATCAGTAAGTGCTTCAAGTCCTCTTTGCTCTCAGCAAGCAAGGTTGTGTCACCTGCACATTTCAAGTTTAATGAGTCTTCCTCCAAGCTGATTACGTGCTATTCTTCATATAGTCCAGCTTCTTGGATTACTTGCTCGACGTACAGATTGAGTAAGTGTGGGGAAAGGGATACAACCCTAGTGCATGCACACCTTCTCCAACTTTAAACCATGCTGTATCCTCTTGTTCTTTCAAACAGCTACCTCATGGTCTGTACAGGTTCCACTTGAACACAGTTAAGTGTTCTGGAATCCCCATTCTTTGCAACAGTATCTGTAATTTGTTATGATCCTCACAGTTGAATGCTTTGCATAGTCAAGAAAATACAGGTACATACATCTTTCTGGTATTCTCTGCTTTCACCCAAGATCCATCTGACATTAGCAACCATATCTCTCATTTAAGTCTTCTGAATCAAACTTGAATTTCTGGTGGTTCCCTATTGATATATGACTGTAGCTGCTTATGAATTATTTTGAGAAAAATTTTACTTGCATGCGATGTTAATTATATTGTCTGGTAATTTCTTAATTCCATTGGACCTTTCTTTAGAGTAGGCACAAATATGGATCTCTTTCAGTCATTTGGCTACATAGCTGTCTTCTAAATATCTTGGCATAGTTGAGTGAGTGTTTCCAGTGTTGCATGTTCATTGAAGCATCTCGATTGGATTCCATCAATTCCTGGAGGCTTATTTTTTTACCAATGCCTTTAGTTTATGAAGGACACCACATATGGTGAAAATAAAAGATCATTTTGAAAAAATGAAGGAAGGAAAAAACTAAAATGAATGTCAGAAGAGACTCTGAAATTGGCTCTTGAACATAGAATAACTAAAGTGATAGAATTGATGAAGTGAAAGAGCTGAATAGATTTCAAAGGGTTTTAAAGTGTTATAATGAAATGTACAAAGAGTTGGAGTGCAGAAACCAAAAGAAAAGAACATGCTCAGTATTTCTCAGACTGACAGAACTGAAGGAAAATTAAAGCCTCAAGTTGCAATACTTAAGGATCTATGGGCAAAATACTGAATAACACAGGAAGCATCAAAAGAAGATGGAAGGAATACGTGGAGTCACTGTACCAAGATGAAATGGTTGATGTTCAGCCATTTCAGGAGGTAGCATAAAATCAAGAATGATACTGAAGGAAGCAGTCCAAGCTATGGTTGCCCTATGTTGTTTTTGTGGTTAAGTGCAATTGAGTCGTCTCCAACTCATAGCAACCCTGTGCACAGCAGAACAAAACACCACCCAGTCCTGAGTCAGCTCCACAATTCTTGCTACACTTGGGCCCATCACCACCACCACCACCACCGTGTCAATCCACCTCGTTGAGGGCTTTCACCTCTTCTATCGACCCTCCACCTTACCAAGCATGACATCCTTCCCCAGGGAATGGTCCTTTCTGACAACATGACCAAAGTATGTGAGACGAAGTCTAGCCATTCTCACCTCCAAGGTTCGTTCTGGCTGCACTCCCTCCAGGACACACCTGTTAGTTCTTTCAGCAGTCCATGGTACTTTCAGCATTCTTCATCAACCCCACAGCTCAAAAGCATCAATTCTTCTTCGGTCTTCCTTATTCATTGTCCAGCTCTCACATACATATGAGGTGACTGAAAATACCATGGCTTGTGTCAGGTGCACCTTAGTTCTCAAGGAGACATCTCTGCTCTTAACACTTGAAAGAGGTCCTTTGCAGCAAATTTATCGTCTGATGTTCTGACTGCTGCTTCCATTGGCATCGATTGTAGAACCAAGTAATGTGAAGTCTTTGACAACCTCAATCTTTTCTCCATTTATTGTGATGCTGCTTATAGGTCCAGTTTTGAGGATTTTTGTTTTCTTTATATTGAGATGTAATCCATACTGCAGACTGTATTCTTCAATCTTCATCAGTAAGTACTTCAAGTTATCCTCACTTTCAGCAAGCAAAGTTGTGTCATCAGCGTATTACAGGTTGTTAATGATTCTTCCTCCAATCCTGATGCCACAATCTTCTTCATATAGTCCAGCTTCTTGGATTATTTGCTCAGCATACAGACTGAATAAGTATGGTGAAAGGATACAACCCTGACTCACTCCCTTCTTGATTTTAAACCATGCAGTGTTCCCTTTTTCTGTTTGAATGACAGCCTTCTAATCTATGTACAGGTTCCTCATGAGTAGAATTAAGTGTTCTGGAATTCCCATTCTTCTCAATGTTATCCACAATTTGTTATGATCCACAAAATCAAATGCTTTTGCATGGTCAATAAAACACAAGTAAACATCTTTCTGGTGTTCATGGTTGCCCTATACTATTTGTTAAATAATTCTCCCTCTTTATACTAATTTTAAGCTGTCACTATAATCTGACCATTGTCTCCAACTCATAGTGACCCTATGCAGAGCAGAACAAAACACCACCCAGTCCTGAGCCAGCTCCACGATTTTAAGGGCAGGGCCCAAGGTAGGCGGGTCTACCCTTTTAAAGCCAGGTCCTGAGGTTGGTGTGCTCAGGCCTGAGGGGCTGCTTTTCATTGGAGGTGGTTCTATTTTAAGACCAGGGCCTGAGGTAGGCAGGTGCAAAGAAGTTAGGAACAACTAAGGGGGATGTACTTGTCTGTCACTTTGTCATCCTGTGTTGGCTTACAAGTTGCCATGAGGCTGGAGGCTATGCCACCAGTGTTACAAAATGCCAGCACCCATGGTGGGTAGGTTTCAGTGATGCTTCCAGGCTAAGACAGACTTGGAAGAAAGTAGAGGCCATCCACTTCTCAAACAATTGGCCAGTGAAAACCTTATGAAGAGCAATGAAACACTGTTTGATGTATTACTGGAAAACTTTATGAATAGCCTAAATACATTATCCAATATAGCCAGAAAATAAGCCCATAAAGTCAGAAGGCACTCAAAATTTGGCTGGGGAAGAGCTGACTCCTCAAAGTAGAGACAACCTTAACAATATGAATAGAATAAAGCTTTTGGGACCTCCATTGGCTGATGTGGCATGAGTCAAAATATGTAGAAGCAGATGCAAACATCCACTAATAATAGGAACATGGAATGTATGAAGTATGAATCTAGGAAAATTGAAAGTTGTAAAAAAGGAAATGGAACTCATAAAGATCAATATCCTAGGCATTGTTGTTGTTGTTGTTATGTGCCGTCAAGTTGGACCCGACTCATAGCGACCCCTCCTTGGGTTTCCGAGGCAGTATCACTATGGAAGTAGATTGCCCCACCTTCCTTCCGAGGAATGGCTGGTGGGTTAGAGAGCTGAAATGGACTGGTTTTAGCCATTTTGAATCAGAAACCATATGCTCTACTATGCCAGAATGACAAATTGAAGAGGAATAGTGTGGCATTCATCATCACAAAGACTGTTTCAAGATCTGTCCTAAAGTACAATGCTGCCAGTGATAGGATAATATCCATATGCCTATAAGGAAGACCAGTTACCACTACTATTATTCAAATCTATGCACCAACCACCAAAGCCAAAGATGAGGAAATGAAAGATTTCTACCAACTTTTGCAG